CGGCCAATGGCTATTGGCACTGCTCCTCCAACACAAACACGTATGGCGGCAGTATTGCCTACAACAGCCACTCCTCCGCAAAGTGCAGATGATGGTAATTTTAATTTTGTCTTTGTTTAGATTTTTCTTGAATATGATCAGTGAATTATGCAAGGTTGGGAAATTTCTGCCGAGGTGGTTGAAACCACTGGTAGAAACCGGTTAAAACTGGTATGGCAGAAACTCTTTTCTGCCACTTTTCTGGCAGAAATTTAGAAAATGACATAAAAGTAAGTATTGAGATTGACATACAATGGATAATTCCTGGAAAAAGAAATTAAATGTTAAACAAAGTACAATTTGTTTACAAAATTATCACCATTCAAAATCAAATATTACATTGTTTGCACTATGCAGTAATCTATAACAAAAGACAAGTTTTGATGCAGTTTCTAAACCTAAACAATTTCTCAATTTGCTATGCGCGAACGAGAAATTTGAGAAGATTCTCAGCAAAACTAGCAGGCATTGCTATCAAGGAACAAGCAAGATTTGTGAAACTTTCATCTATTGCATATTTTTTAAAACTGGACCACCATGTAGCAGCTGGAGTAGTTGTCAAAACTTGACTGTAAAAATAAATTTCAGGAAATGGGGCCGATTTGTTTTGCAAAGCTATGACATAAGGTACAAAATCTAGGTTAATATTGGCGAGTAAAATTCTAGCACTTTCTTCTTGAGCACATAATTTCAATCCCAAATACTTTGGATGCAGCATATAAGCTAGCAAATGATAATCAGTAACTGCCTGTTTAAATCTGTATGTCACTTCTTTTTTATAAACAGCCATAGGATTTTCTTTACTTAATTAATTTTTCAGTTTACTCAAACAAAATATCATTAAGGAATTACTAGAATTAATATAGATGGTTTTTTAGTTTCTGCCAGTTTTTGCCGATTATAACCAGTTTCTGCCACTGGCAAGCCAAAAATCAGTTTCTGCCAACAAAAAGCCAACCCTGAAATTATGTAGGTTCAGGATAATTTGTTTTCTTAAAACCATCTGGTTAAAGATATTTCCCGCTTACCTTTTCTTTTTTTTAATTTTATTTCTAGTTGTCTCCTCTCCTTCTGTAGCTGTACCTCATGCAACAGTTCAGCCAACTCCAGCCACAGCTACTGTTGCCCCAAATACAATGGCAGTAACAGTTTCTCCTGTTATATCTGAAGTAGCAGCTGCTGTTGGTTAGTATTATTACTGTTTAGCATATTAGCACTGTTTAAAGCTCAATGTTTAATCTCACATTGATAAATCTATTATGCTAAATATTTTTAGTCTTTCCATTAGTACACATTTGTTTAAAGCCGAGACTTTTTTATTTTCAACTGTCTTTACAAGGTGGTTTTTTGAACAAAGAAAAATCAGGGAATTTTATTAATCTGGAATCTCTATATTTCAGACATTTCAACATGTTATTGTTCATAACCAATAAGTGTAAAATAGCTTAAAGAACTACAATTGAACAAAGATTATTGTGGCACATTTAGTATGTTCCCATTTTAGCCCTAGAGTCATAAACATGTATGGGAGATACAGTATTCATAAGCATTCATCTAACGATGTAGGAAGGTGCTTAGAACTAAATGTTTTTATCTCTTTCTTTTTAAAAGTTACTTGTACTGGCATATTTTGTATGGTGTGTGAGATAAATGACTATGGTTAACATTAACAATGAAGTTAGTTACCTTATAAATGCCAGACCTGTCAACTCTCTGGCTTTAGGCCTAAGGCAAGGCTCAGGCTTTCGTATCCAATTTGAGGAGCTCAAACCCCTAAAGTATTTTTTTAATAAGCAAAGAAATTGACAAACCCATGCATACAGCCCTAAAAACTCTTTTGTCCAGATGACCGATTTTTTTAAATTCCTTTTTTGCACATTCTTTTAAAATTTTATACTGATTAATTTAAAATTAAAAAAAGTATAAAACCGTTCTTAAAAAAGCCTATATGGTGATGATTTTTTTTAAAAAAGTGATACCTTAATTCCCTAATTTGAGAAATAGTTTCATTATTTTTAAAAACCTAAGGCTTGGGTGATTAAATTTTTTTTTGTTGAAGTTTTAGAAGAGGATAGCATAGCTTGTTTCTTGATATTTTAGAAACGTAAGTAATGCTTACAGTGAAGTGGACAAATTAGGCTAGTGGCATTACCTCTTTTTCACAGCAATGTGACCTGTGAGAGTATATTAAACTTCATAAATAAAATCCAGTCTTATTTCTGTTCTTCTTTGTCAAACAAACTTTGAGAAATTCTTTGACTGGAATGGCAAACAAGAAAGAGTTTCCAAAAATCTTATATAATGTTTTTAAACAATATTAACTCGCTCACTCAGTCCGTTTTAAAACAACAATTTATTATTTTTTAATTTTTCGGAATAAAACACTATGTAATTTAAGGAATTTAGTTACGGCGACCCAGGCAAAAATGCTCGTACGCCAAATGTAAGATGCCTCGTCGTCGACTTGAAGTCCAGCTCGGCACGAGGACCAAGCAATATGCGGACACCAGGCAAGGCCCTGAGTCATGCAAGAATTGGAGCACCATAGTCGCGATCGAGAGCAAAGGATGCCCTACTGGTCCAACACCTGAAGAGCCGCAGTGTCAAACCCTCCTCAGACGTAGCCAAAATTTGGTCGGCAGTAGGAAGACCGCCGCCACCCCACTATCCATCGAAGGCCCTAGGCCTGGAAGGTTTCAAACCCTTTACTTTATTTACAAAAACACACAAAAGTATTAAATCAAAGTACTACAAAGCAAAAAAATCAAAATCGCAGCAGATTGAGAGTCGCCTGATCTGGCTTACAAAAAATGGCATCATTGCCCTAGCCCCAGTAGTTGATGGTTTTCTTGAGTCTCTGAATTGCTATTTTCTGTGACATGCAGTTTCTGCTTAAAGCACTATGGTCGGTTCTCAACACTATGTAATTGTAAAAAAAAAAAAAAAAGTTTTTGTTTTCTAAATTACACTATGTAATTTTTAAAAAAAACCTTTTTTATTGGTTTGCTTGTTATGCAATGCTGTGGTCACCAAAAGTCTCGAGCTTATTTAATTTCTGAGGTTGGTAGGTATGAAATTAATAAATTAATTTCTGAAACCTCTTGTCTTAAGAAGTTTTATTTAATTCTTTAGTTCAAGATGAAACGGACATACCACCCATGACATCTGTACATCCTTCAAATGTTGCTGTCTCTACTCCTGCTACTGCTTTAGTTCCTCCTCGAATAGAAATAACTGGTAAACACCTTAAACATTTTTTTAAACCAATATCTTCAATTTTATTCTTCAAAACATGTTAATTAAACTGTGCATATGAGTGTAACTTTTTATTTAAAGCGCAGTAGGAAAAAAAATTTAAATCCCTTGCTAATGTCACCATTAATTAACTCTTTTTCCTACTTTCAAATTTTTTCTTTGTGTTATTAGAGACAATGCCAGACTCTGCTGTTGTAGATTCTCCCGCTCCTACGACATCGGTTATAGTTTCACCACCTGCTACCCAAACACAAGTCGTTACACCCACAGTGAAACGCCCTCGTGAAGAAAGTTTAGGGTAAGTCAGAGATAAGTATTTTTTAGAAAAAATTGCCTATGCCCCAAAACTGATACAATGAGTGCTGGTTTGTAAACTCACTAGTTAGTTATGTTGACTATTTATTCAGGGTGGCCACCCACCTTGAAAACCTGGAAATATCAGGGAATTTTTTTATACTGGAAAAAACCTGGAAATACCAGGGAAATTTGGATAAAAACCTGGAAAAATCAGGGAATTTTAAAGAAAAGCTGGAAATTTTTCTTTGATAATTTTTTTAATTTCACTAATTTAAATTATTTACTAATTTTCTTAATTTAAATTATTTCATCCATTATACCCACTTTTTTTAAACGGAAGTGTATCGCCAAACAGTTGAAATATCATCAACTTAGCTATACTTTGCTTGCATCAAAATTTGCTCCATTACACAGGGATGAGATTCTTCCGCGGATTCGCGGATTTCCGCTTTTTTTCAGATTTTTCCATTTTTCCCGCTAATTTCCGCTGAAATTTTTTTTTGCCCAAGTTAAAATGTTTTATGAGGAATTTAATTTTCCGCGGAGGGAAATTGTTGAAGTCCCTTTTCCTCCCTCTGAAGTTTCTCTAAAAATCATTTCCTTGGGATAAAACTGGTTGACCTTTATACAGGGATGAGATTTTTTTTGTCTCTCGAATTTCAGCCTCTTTATCAAAAACTCCGATTCTCTAAAAGTTTCGTTTTTTTAAATAAATATCCCGTTTTTTTTAAATTCAGTCATTGAAGTAAAATAATTATATTTATTTACGATTTTCAAAGATAAACAGAAAATTCAATCTACGCCCTAGCT